CTGGGGCTGGAATGTCAGGAATTCCTGGTTCAGTCTATACTATGTGGGACTAAAGCATAGAACTCAAGGAGAATGGATATGGAATTTAGCAGCTTTTATCTTGGGGTGCTCCAAATACAGATGTGTGGGTTCCATTCCTCATTCATTAGGTCTGCAGGAGAGCCCTGCCACGTGAACTTGGAACAGGTCCTTGGAGATTCTGATGCTCAGTGCTAAACGGGAAGCATGGGCTTGGATGATGCTTACGTCCCTTCTGGCTTGAGAGACATTCAGCTATGGGGAGTAAATGAGTCTTGTGCTCGAGTGCATTCCTATCATCAGTCCACAAGAGCAGGTCTCAGTGGGGCAGTGCAGCTCCCTAGGAGGCATCCTGAAAAAGCACCAAGTTTTAGTTGTGAAAATGAAGGGGGTAGCTCCTTTGGCATTCAGTGATGCAGGCTAGATGTCTTGTAATGCAGACATCACAAGGACAGGCATTCAGAATGAAGAATTGTCCTGAATCCTGCCCGTCTTCTGAACATCCTGCCAGAACATGCATGTAGGTGAAAGGTCAGTTCATAGTTACATGAGCTGAAAACTCGATTTCAGCTTACATACAAGAAGTTTTTTTTATACATTGTAACTTCATACATTTTCCAACTTCATGTATGATTTTATTATCCTGGCTTTCACTTTTAAAGTTAGACATTCTGTTACCTTGAAAAGAATTATATGTGTAAGTAGTACATTCCCTATTTATAAGAAATATATTTTGTAACTGCCATAATGGAGTGTTGAGTCCAATTGGTTTGGGACTTTATTGATCTACAAACACCAAACCTTGCAGGAAACCGTAGACCTGTAGCTCTCAGATAGGCCTCAAAAAGGCCTAGGGTGCCTTTGTTGGAGAAGGGGACGGGCTGGAAGGATGAATCAACTTGTCAGAATCAGATCCCGATGAGGAAACGAAATCAGACCTAGAGCAACAAGGTGAGAAGGCTGGGCTTGGGTGAGCAGGTCACAGAGCCCAGCTTGGTGTCTTATCTGAACTCACCGTAGACATGTGAGGAGGGGGCTGGAGTAGGAGTTCTTGAATGCCTGTTGTGGGTCAGGACCTGTGTTGCGTACACGTATCCATATCCTGTAATTGCCGCCAAGGTCCGAGGGTAAATGCTGTTAGCACTTATTTCACAACAGAGGAAGCCCAGGCTCTGAGAATTAAACTACTTGTTCTCAGGGTGGAAGCCTGTTTACCTGCCTTCAAAGCTGCTTTGTCATTGCAGGCCCTAGTGAGTTTCCTTCTGCCCCCAAACCTTCGTATTTATTTGGTTTTTGATAAGTAGTGGCTCTGCTTTTGATCTTTGCTAGGAGTGATTGTACAGCCTGGATAGCAACAGGGGGGCTTCCTTGGGAAAGGTGGGGCTTCCTTGGGGAATAACCCTTGATCCCCTGAGGTCTTGGCCTTTCTGACTTTTGGCTGAGTTGGCACCTGGGACATGCACCTCTGTGACTCACTTGCACCTTTCTGTTCCGTCCCAGGTGCCAACCTCAGGGCACACACTCCTTGCTGTGGGTGCTCCCACATCTGGCTGGCCCCTAGCTTCTCTTTTCCCAGGTGGCCGTCTATTGTGATCAACCCAGCCTGCTTCTGTCGGCTGGTTTCCTGACCCTTTGGGCAGGGCATTCTAGCCTCCGTGAGTCCTGAAGGGGGCTTTCCCGTGGGCCATTCCTTTCTAGGAGGGATTGAGAAGCTGCTAACCAGTAAGATCTGCCCACAGCCCTGTCTTCAGCTGAACTTCCACACAGGTTCTCAGTTGAGTGAAGGATGTCAGGGACAGGAATGGAAGCATGGGTAGTGCGTTCTGGCTTTTGAGAGTGGGGGCGTATGTGCTCATGCATGGGGGGGGGGGGCGAGGGATGTCACTAACTAGGTCCCCGAGAACTGCCATTTTAAGCAGAACCAGAATTGCTGACATGAATTATTTGACCAATTGGTAGATACAAGTACTGCTCTGAGAACTTTCAGGCTAAATTAAAGAAACCACGTGGAGGGAAATCCCAGACCATCTTCCACAGTCCCCTCCACCCCTAAGCCTTCTGTCTTCAACAGGGATTTCAGTCCCTCACTGGTTCCCACAGGAATTTCCAACCCCTCCCAATCTTCTATCCTGAAAGACACCATGATGACACCAAAGGCCAACTTGGGGGGCATTAGTTCTCCTCCTCACCCCCCATGCTTTTTCCTCATCAGCAGACTTGAATCATCTCAAATAAACATGCAATCTTCATAAAAACACAGCGCTTTCCCTGCAAGCAGGGTGTCCAGGGAAGTACTTGTCAGACTTTAATGTGCATATATAGCATCTGGGGATCTTGTTAAAATCTGATTCAGACTCAGTAGGTCTGGAGTGGGGCTCTGAGACCCTGCATTTCTAACAAGCTCCTAGGTGATGTCAGGCTGCTCACTGGGAAATGACATTCGGTATGGAAGCCCCAGGCAGCCCCACCTCTGCCTCCCTTCAGCCAGCTAAGCCCCTTCTTCATAGGCCTCCTGAAGCCCCCACAGTGTGAGTGCCGGAGGTGAGAGAGGAAGGAGGTCTGACATGTGCCCCCTCCTTAGGCAACACCTTGCTTTTTCACATTCCTCGTCTCTCTGAATTGTAATTCTCTCTTTTATTTATATCCCCTTTGCTCTCTTCTCTCTTGCTTTCTGCCAAGGGCTCACCAATACAGCTAGGACATGTAAGACATAGTCAGTGGGGACTTTGTTCCATTTTGGTACAATGTGATTCCCCTGTGAAGGCTGAAGGTTTCCCCCTCAGCCCTATGAGTCCCTTGTTCTGGCTGCTTCTCTTATAACCCCTGATGTGATTCTGCCATCAGAGGGAGTGTGGGCTTGAGGAGCAGAGTGCCCTGATAACACACACGTGTGCACACATGTATGTATGCATACATACATGGCCTCTGCCAAGAGCTGTCAGCAGTCATGTTCCCTTCTGGGCCACAGTTTCTTTATGCCTATACTATATGGCTGAGCTGGCAAATAGGTGAAGGCCCCTCTGTTTTTAACATTCTTTGATTCTAATTAACCAACAAGCACATTTTAGGTCCTCTGAACAAAATGTGAATTCTTATTTTTCCATCCAAACTCTGCCCCTTCCTACTGTGTGTCTTTGGGATGATCATTTACCTTCTCTGGGCCTTAGTGCCTTGTTTACATGTTGAGTGATGATGAGAGTCACCTGATCTGGGCAGGTTAGGACATATATAGGGACTTAGATGTAAAGGTGCCTAGCATAGTTCTGGGCAAAATAAGTGTCTTAGTCAGCTTGGGCTGCTATAATAAAATACCAGAGACTGAGTGGCTTAAACAACAGACAATTATTTATCACAATTCTGCAGGCTGATCAATCCAAGATCGAGGTGCTGGAAGATTTGGTTTTGGTAAGGGCCCTCTTCCTAGCTTGAAAAGGGCAATCATTTTATTGTGTGTTCACATGACCTCATGTGTGTGTGTGTGGGGGGGGAAGGGGTGAGATAGAGAGAAAACTCCCTTGTCTCTTCCTTTTATTTGTAAGGACAATAATTCCTTTATGGGAGCACTATCTTCATAACCTCATCTAGCTCTAATTATTTCCCAAAGGTCCCACTATCACATTGGGGGTTAAGGCCTCAACATATTAATTTTTGAGGGAAACAAACATTCCGTCCATAACAGCAAGGATTAGTCAATATGGTTGACTTGGTTTGTTCATCTGGAAAGAATCAACAGACCGCCTACCAAGTGTGAGGAGCAGGGAAGCCGCGCTGCAGGCGGCAGGGAGGAATCAGGTGGACCCTGTCCTGCAGTCAGCTGGCACCGAGAGTCTAGATTAGAGGGTGGGAGGTAGCAGCCAGGAAGGAGACTGGGGAGAGCAGGTCCCAGGGTCTGAAAAAGGAGTAAGGCAGAGGGGTGAGAGATGGTGTTGGGGTGGGGGGGGGGGACATGCCTGGAATCTCAAAGCAACTCCTGATGCGTAAGCATTGGCAGGAGGCCCCAGAACATGTTCTGACCCTTCAACCCGGAGAATGCGTGTCTATGGAGGAACAGCAGCAAGAGGAATAAGAACATGGAATGTCAGAGCCTGACTCGGGGGCTCTGGATGATAGAGATGCCTGAGACTTTTGATGGTGTGGGGGTGGGAGGGTGGAAGCCCGGAGATAAACTGCTTGACTCCTTGGGGGTTTTAACCATTCTGGCTGGGAAACTGGAAAGGACTGAGGGGATGTGCAGGGAAGGGAAACTGTGGTAACAAGGAATTTCATCCTTGATGAGGGTAACGGTAATAGTGATGATGTTGCCCTAAATTAGTGTCAGGACATTTTGCAAGGGGATGGAATTGGTGCCCTAGTTAGTGTCATTTTTATTAAGATTTCAAGATTCCTTCTTGGTATCATTTAAAAAATCTCTTGGAAAAAAAACACACAGTATGTAGATCATTGACCAGTGACATGTAACTATGCTGCCTTCTGCCTCTGCTGAATTACTATCATGACAACATGGGCAAGTCATGAAAAACTTAAATTTTGTTTGGAAATGAAGGGGGACCTTTGTGATCCCGATGGGCACTTTCACTTAAATATTAGATGGGTCCCAACAATGCTCACAAAAATAAAGTCGTATTGGTAGCATTTTTGCCCAACAGCTTGGGGGGGGGGGGTGTTTCAGAATGAGTCACCCCAAGACCAGCTTGTGGTATGAGGATTCTTTTGAGCTAAAAGCAACCCAGACCCGTAGGCTCAAGATAAACATGTCCCTTCTCCCACCCCACCCCCCCTTTAATATTTGGAAGAATTTGAATTAGGGGGCCTGGCCCATGATAAGAGTTATCACCAGAAACCACTTTTTATGACCTGTTTATTACCGAGCATGTGCTCCCTGCCATGACCTTCTGAAGCCGCCAGGTGCCTTCCTTTACCTTAGCTCAGAATCTCACATCTGTTCCCCATTTCCCCCTTCTGTCCCTGAGCCTCTCGCGTACCTGGGGGTCTCGTGCGGGGTTCCCCACATCCGAATGTAATTACATTGGGTCATTTCCTCTTGCTACAACGTCTCAAGTGCATTTGATTAGAAGATGAGCAGGAAGAACCTTGAGGGCAAAGCAAAACTCCTCCCTCCTCCACAACAGGTAGTCTCCGTGCTCCACTTCCGTGGGGGCGGGGGCGATGAGGACGGTAACTCCAGTGAGGGAGTTTTCACGCCCCTTTGTCACGCCCCCACTGATGGGGGGGGCCTCAGGTAAAAGACAGGGGCACATTCAAGGCCTCCTCTCGGGCCCCATGTCGGGTCGTTGCTTAGATCAGTTTGTAGCGCCCTACAGGCCAACTCTCCCCAGGGCTACCGGTGACCACACGTGGCCAGAGGGAGAGGCTGGGGGCTGGGGAGGGAGGTCGCACCTGCCCACGCGGGCCAGGCGGCCGGGGCCGGGTCAGTAGGCGCCGCGCACGCGCCGTGGGTCCCCGGGGAGGCGCGCGCGCGGGGCGGGGGGCGGCGCGGGGCCGCGCACGCGCGTCGGAGGAGCCACTTCCGGGCGGGGAGGGGCGGGGCGGCCGGCCGGCCCTCTAATCTCGGCGGCGTCGGCGGCGGCAGGGGGAGCCCGAGCTTCGCCTCTCACGAGTCGGTCCCGCGGCGGAGAGGACCCCGGCGGGCGCCCGCGTCCGAGGGAAGCAGCGGGGAAGCTGGTTCCGGGCTGCGCGGGGAGAGGGGCCGCCGCGGCGCGGAGGAAGGAGGAGAGTCCAGTTCGGGGAGGTGGGCTTCGGCCGGGGGTAGCGGGAGAGGGACTGAGTGGGAGGCGGGTCCCGGCCGGGGAGGAGAGTAGGGTCAGACTCGGGGGGTTTGGGGTGGGAGGGGTCAGGAGAGGAGGGAGGGCCGTGGGCACTGAGGGGCTTAGCTAGCCGCTGGGGGCGGGCTCGGGTGCGGGCGGAAGGGGGAAAGGCGGCCCCCCGCATCTGGACCCTGAGTGGGTGCAGGTGTGCGAGTGGGTGGGCGAGGATCTGAAACTCCACTCCCAGGGAGGGTAGGAGGGGTGGGGGCAGGCAGGATTTGCGCCTCTGCACGCGAGGAGAGAGTTTTGGGGAGGGAGGGATGAAGCGAGCGAGGCCGGCCTGGCTCTAAAGAGTCCGGCGGAGGCTGGACCCTGCGGCTGGGCTGCCTCCAGCGCCCGATTCCCCGCGGGGCTCGGTTGAATGGGCCGGGCTTCTGGGTTCCGGGCCTCGGTGGGGGCGGGCTGGGCGGTGCCCCTGGTCCCTACCTGGTGGCATTTGCTCTGTGGGAGGCTGGATCGGGAGTCTGGCCGGCTGTCGGAGCGGAGCCGAGTGCCCGCGAGGTCCTGATTCGCTGGTGTGGGGTGCCGGGGGTGGAGTGTGATAGATAGCTGGGGGTGAAACCCGAGCTCTCAAAGGAGGGAGAGAACCATTTCTTGACTGCTCCGGCCCGATCGAGGCGGGTCGGCGTGACAGTTACAAGCTGTAGAAGTAAACAAACCTGGTTCCCCTTGCAGAGGAGCGGCGCTGAGAGCGGGGCTGGAAAGGGAAGATGCCCAGTGCGGACGTTCTCATGCTGGTGAGTGTTGCCCGAACATCCTCCTGGTTCGGAGGCACTTGTCCCTTCAGTTTTATTTTTAGTCCAAGGGATCTGAGTAGGGAGATTTCACCTCTGCCGCTTGCTTTTGGTGGCTGAGCATTTCTGCCACCTTTAGTTTGGGCTTAATGATTAAAGTGGATGAATAACTGAATTCAATAGATGAGTATATATTTAATGCACATGAAGAAGAGTCTTTTTCAAAATTCTTGCAGTTGATTTTAATCATTCCCTTCCCATATTGCCAGAGCAGGTTTAAAACTTCTATTGCATTTTGTCTGGGTCGGTCATATATTAATCTAGAAGCGATGGTCTCCCGGACTACAGTTAGGATGCCTCAGAAGGCTGATAGGTCTTCTTTTTATGGAAATGAATAAACACCCGCCATGGCGCTCTGCAGTAGTAAGTGCTTAACAACTGCTTGTGGAATTGAATCAGTTTGAATTTAAGTGTTTTGTTGAGCTGAGGTGTGTGTTTACCTGCTGTGGAAGAGGCTGCATTTTCCTCTCCTGAGATCTTCCTGTGCTGTTTTCTCACCAAACAAGGAGACTAGCATTGCCACATGAGTGTTCACCAAAACGACGTTTTATTCTTGAGACAGTTATGATTCCATAGAGGGAATTGTGGGAACCCAGACCTTTCAAACAGCTACATAGGAAAAGTGTCTGCATTTAATGTTTAACAAGTCACTTCATTGAGTCCGATGTCTCTGGGCAAAATCATGGATTTAGGAACAATTCCTTTCCCTCTCTTTGTCTCACCATCCCAGAGGGGTGGTGGCTGTCACTGGGCAAAAACTAACAGTGAGATTTTCTCATACCAGGTGCTGACTTGCTATCGTGGCAAAACCTGTAAGGTCGGGACATACAGAGGGAAACTAAGTTCTGGTTTTCGATTGGGAACAAAGATGATTTTAGAGAGATAAATACTTGGTTTATCTGCAGATCCAGAAGATTTCACCTAAAGTAGTTTCTTGCTTCAAGTCTTATGGATTGTCAGTAATAAACAGTCTCAGTATGATTTTAAATGCTTATTGTATAAGCAATATGTTAGAAACAATGGAAACTATTATAAATATGCAAGAAGAAGCACCCTCTCCCCCAAATTCCACTGCTCAGGGATAGCCACTGTTAGCACCTTGGAGGGTCAATGGAGAATGGTTTTTAAGAGTTGGCAATTTCTGTGTTTCCTTTGTGTTTATATGTCTTTTTGAGCAGTGAGTGCTTTTACTCCGAATGTTAACTTTGGAATTTGTTTTGTTTTGAAGTATTTCTGTAGCTGTTGCCATTACTTTTCACTTCCTCAGTTGATAATCTAGAATGTTTAGGGGTGTTGCTTTGCTTGTCGGTGTAAGGAATTAATTCACATGGATAACAACAGGTCCTTGAGGTTCATCATTTTCCTAAGACACCATACATGTCGGTTGAGGAACTTTCACTGAAAAAGTCATTTTTTCCTTGTCTAAACTGTGCTATTTGAAGCTAAAATGTAAAGAACCAGGGTGGGTTTTCAATGGGGGCATTAAACTGCCAGGATCTGAGTTCAAGGTGTTTCTCTAGCTACTTTGTATGATGTGTAAGACATATTCTTCGCCCTCTAACTGGGAAGAAAGGATCCCAGGTAATAAAAAGTAAACCTCAATGCAGGGCAGTGCCTTGTAGAAACTCAGAAACAATCATAGAAGTCATATGATGCAACTTCTTATGTTGTGCATGCCTCCTTTTTTAGAATTTCTGATAAGTGGGTAGCCAGTCATCCATCTTTTCTGCTGGGGGAAGATGGGCATAAGCTAAAACATAATACAGGGTCGATTCAGGAATAGTAATGTAAGTCTACCAGCTAATATTTATTGAGCACGTATTCCATGTTATGTGCAGAAATAGATACTCTACATACTCATTTAATGTTCACAAAATCCCTTTGGAAAATATGCTGGCATCCTCCTTTTACAGGTGAAACACCAGACTTAGCTAGGCTGTCAGCAGTGAAGTGGTAGAGCTACATTTTTACCACAGTCGATCTGACTTGAGATCCTTTCCTCTTACTTACTTTATAAGGCTGCCTCTGGGTCATACTCTCCATAAGGGAGAGAGATTGTTGCACTTTGTGACTGATGGGAGGGGGTTTGTGTAGAGCAGAAAAGGTGGGAAAGCCCCACCCTCAAGCGGGCACATTGGAAATGTGTATGTGTCTGCCCATGAGTATGTCTTCTAGAATAGTCTTGTCTGAAAATATGTGTTTTACTATACAAATATCCCTGTTTATTTTCTTTTACATTGCGGTTGAGGCATTATGTTGAAATTTAAAAAGTTATGCCTATAAGTATAATGTTATAATCTTTGAGTTTCATTTTAGAATAATAAAAGGGCATTATAAAATATTTGTTATAAAAAGAGGTCATTGGGATTGATAAGATTAAAAACTACATATGTGGACAGTATGCTGTGGTAATAAAACTTGAAGATCAACTGGAGTCATATAAGTCAAACCTTGTATTCCAGGATAAGAAGCTTGGGCTGTCAGTCCTTAATTTTGCCCTCATTTGGTTAGGGTCGTTTGCTTGCCTTTTTCCATTTGCTCCTATATGACATGTCATGGGCTGTACTACATTCCACCTGTGTCTCAGAGAGAATGAAATGAGTGAGTAGTATTCATCTGAGAATTGTGATACTTTCGGAGGGAATTCAAGTCAGGCAATTTTTAGCAATCTTTCTTCACTTTGGCAGCCATTCTTTTCATCCCTATTCTCCTTCTCCCTAAGCTAGGGTTACAAGTTGCCAGATACTTTTAAGAAGAAGCTCAGGCTACTCCTTAGGTGGCTTTTCTCTTTTCCCGTCCAGAAGGGTAAATCAGGGTAACCATCTGCTCCATGGTAGTGCTGGGTCTGAGTGAAAATTGTTTGTCTGGGGCCGAGGTTCTCAACCCAGGGTGATTTTGCCCTCCAGGATGGATCATTGGCAGTGTCTGGAAACATTTTTGATTGTCATACTTGAGGAGTGCTAGAGTCAGGGATGCAATTAAAAACCCTACCGTGCACACAGTTTCCCACAACCAAGAATTATCTGGCCTAAAATGTCAGTAGTGCCCAGGTTGTGGAAACTCTCATCTAGGGTTCTTAACAGTATTTGCAGCCCAGGTATTAATGTGGGTCATTCCAGGCCGAATGAGTTTTTTTGTGTGTGTGTGTGTGTGTGTGTGTGTGTGTGTGTAATGAGCCTGTTATAGTGTTACTTGGGGTTATTTTGCCCATGGATCAAGCCCTGCTGCTTTGGAATATAGAGAATGTACAGCATGGTCTTCTGCAGCAGAGGAATATTCTTTGTTCTCCCCCCGCCCCCCATTTTTAGAGACCATGGAAAGGGGGGGGGGGAGAAACATTGATGTGAGAGAGACATATCAATTGGTTGCCTTCATGTGCCCTGACTGGGGCAGGGATTGAACCTGTAACCCAGGTACATGCCTTTGGGTATTGACCTGAGACCCTTCCGTGGGAGGGCTGATGCTCTATCCATGAAGCCACACCAGCCAGGGCCAGAGGCATATTCTTAAGAAATGCTTTCCTTTGCAATATTTTTGCAGCACTTTCTTAAAAGAAAGTATTTATTTATTTTATCCTCATCTGAGGATCTGTTTATTGATTTTTTTAGAGAGAGAGGAAGGGAGGGAGGAAAGAGGGAAGGAGGGAGAGAAGGAGAGAGAGAGAAACATTGATGTGAGAGAGAAACATCCCAATGGGGAATCGAACCCACAACCCTCTGGTATATGGGACAGCCTTCCAACCAACTGAGCAACCTGGCCAGGGCTGCAGCACTTTATTTACAAAACTGTAAGCCTGTTTTAGTTTTGTTTTTCAGGTTCAAAAATAGAATCTTTCCAGATCTTAGAGCTTTATCTTTAACCCTTGGATCTTTTTCAGGGATGCTTTCTTTCTGAATCTCAATTGGGATTTAAGCAATAAATTGAAAGATCGACACAAAAAGCTCATTTTAATCCAGTGTCTTATTTGTAGGATTGTCTAGAAGAAAGGGGAGATTCATTGGGACTGGTATGAGATGTAAAATTTTGTTGATAATTTGAGTGGCCAGTAGGATGAGCACTGTATTTAACATTGTTTGAATGTTTAAAATAAAGCAAAACTATAATAACAAGTATGATAATTTCTGCAGCCTTTAGTCTAAAGGAAAGGGGAGTTATAAATAGAGAAACCCTGAAATCTCAGTATTTGGCTTAGCTTTGCAGTCTGTGTGTCAGGAATTTTTAGTAACATTTACCTTCTTAATTAGTCTTTGTCCAATCTAATATTACATAAAGTTTGTACACAATGGTGGCAGAATTGAGAGTCAGCCTGGGATTAAGAAATTTCCATAGGGAATTGATTTGTAGTGAATCAGTTCATGTGTGGAAACATACAGAGCCCAATTACTGAGAGAGAAACCATGCTGTTGGTTAAGGGGCAGTAGGAGCCCTCTGGGAAGGCGGAAAGTAGTTCGTTGGGTATATCGGTTATCTCTTGGCACACTCCCACAGTGTGATTGAGGAGATGAAGGGACTATTTACAGAGCTGGGCAGGGTTAAAGAAGCCCAACAGGGATGATGAAACAACTCAGGGTAAGAGCCATTATTACTCTTAGGGCTGAAGGAGCCAGGAAGGGGAGTAGTTTCTGAAACCTTGAGAGAGCTTAGCTGAAGGAGAAGGGAACCTGTAGGAATGTAGCCACTGCCAACCAGTGGCCCAGCAGGAGGGAATTAAGAGGAATAAATACCTCAAACTCTTTCATTTCCCACCCTCTGAACTCCTGCCAGAGACTCTCATTGGTCAGACTCACTGGAAACCAGAGAATAAGGGAACCTGGGTGATTGAATTCACACAGGGCAGCCCTGTAAGGCACATGCATGCAGAGCTGGAGCAGGTTGGGCGGAGCATCTGGCAGAGAAGGGAGGCTGCCCCGCATGCTAGAAACAAGGCCACATTAGCTCCGAAA